TTATAATTATAATTATAATTATTATTATTATTATTATATATATATCTTTTTTTAGTTGAAAATATTGAAAAGGAACACTGAAATTGTTTTTGCTAGTCTGCAAGAACAAAACGCTGTTTTTATATTTTTGTTTCTTGTAACAAATTTCGTTAAGCAGACCATTAATTTTTGCAATAAATATTAAAACCATAGCATTTTTGAATAGGCAGTGAAAATACCTTTCAAATGAGGTATCACATGCTCCTACTTCTCATTTAAAAATTTAGGGGTTGCAACTGCCATTTGAAGAGAGTTGAATTTGGGGATGAAATTTTTACGTTGCAAGATCTCATTTCAGAATCCACAATCAAAGCGTCTCGGGATTTTTTATAAATATGCACAACAATTGAGATAGTGAATTTAATCCATTTGGCTGTTCCACACTGTATGTAAATGAACATATGTCAAACTACCATTTTCAGGCAAGAACAGTGATTGCGGTACTTGTTAACCTAGGGACTTTAATCACTACTTATTTGATTTAATATTTCTCAATTTTTCTGATTTTATAAATACAGATATAAATGTTTTAATTTCCATTTTAATAGTGTGTCTAATTACAAGTTGCTATTCAACATTAATTTGTATTTAAAGCTATTTATTTTGAATTATCATTTAGGTACCTATTCGATATGAGCAATTTATAAATAGGGGCAGTTTTTCTGTTTTTTCACCTGCTGATAAATTTACATGACAATTAGAAAAATCGGCTCTTAATTTTCTCCACTATTATAATAAAACATGTTCACCGACATTGTTTTCTAAATGATTATTATTGAATTAAATATAATTTACATAATACAAAAAATGTGAATAGATTGTAAAGTAGTACATATATAAAATTATACCTTATTAGCACAAAACCACATGATTAGTAATTGTTTTCATACCTCTATAAAATGTATATCCAATATGTAAAATTATATTAAAATATGGTTGAAATTATAAATAAAACCTTAACTATACAAATAAAGAGCATTGATTTATAATACATAACAAACTTTTGAGCTGTTTACTATATTGCTAGAAAAATCAAAATATTTATTTATTACATAATTTTGTTCTAAATATTGCCGAATACAAAAAATACTTCAAAATTAATCTTCAGTCTCTGACTTTTTATCTTTGGTTAAATCCCTTGATCCAAATGGACTAGCCATTCTTTGATAATTGGGCTTCAAAGTGCTTACAGGTCTCGTATAATCTAGATGGTCATATTGTAAATCTAAAATAAAAAAGTAATATACATTTTAAATACATCTTCCAATTTTATACAGAATACAGATCAAAATTTGTTGGTGTCTTTAAGAAAAAAATATCATCCAGAAAGAACCATTTTCGTCGCAGTTGAATAAATCCAAAATAACAAAATTATTCATCTCACAAAAAAATAAGGAATTTTTTTGTCAGAAAGATAGTTTTAAATTCAATAGCTTTGTTCGCAGCAGCAGTTCTGAATAAGTTTGGGATCAATAGGCAGTCCGTATAAATGCATTTGCGAAACATATTGTCCGTAACTTTTCATAACGAGTTTTAGGTATAGAGCAAATTAAAAGAGGCAAGTAAATATAACAATATACATAATATAATAAAATAATAATAATATAGACGAATAGAACTACTTAAAAGATAGTAGAAAAAATAAACTATTCAAAAAAGAAATATGTAGTAAAAAAATAAGATCCTAGACATGACACCTACGTGAGTTATCCCTATACAGGGTGTCCCAGTGTCAGCGTACAAAAATTTACCAGGGGGTAGACCAGACCTAAATAAGATTAAAATTCTTATAAAATATTTTTCTGCCATGCACTCTCACGGAGTTACAGGGTGTTGTTTAAGTAATTTTTGGGTGAAATGTACATTTATTAAAGGTCATTAAAACTACATAGTGCTTATTTCGATCTGACGCTAGGGGCGGCCTAGGCCAACTTGTCCTCAAGATTATGTCTTCATAACCTTTGCATATCCTAGTTTTATGTAATTTGATTACATTTTCCTGAATCTGCAATCGATTCTGAACAAAAAATGGGCTCTTGTTTCATAGCTCAAAAATGAACCGTTTTCGAGTAAATTGGGTCTAAAGTATCGACTGCATTAGTTCGTAGAAAAATGTATATGAAGATTTTATTTCTTGTTATCTATACTCCGCGGTCGAAATTATAGAGAGTGACTCATCGCTAGCTTTTGGACTAGTAAGGGGGATGAAGCGTGCCGGGAACCAAAATCCATTGGCGTGTCTGCGTAAAAGGCAACAAGATATAGAAAATATTGAAAAAAGATAATAAAACATATCTAATATTTTTTACGGTTTGCTATAACTGGCACTTTGATCCATTTTAATTATTACAGCATTTTAAAACGTCCCAGTTGTGTTTTTTTAATTTATAAATTTATTATAGCCATGGAATTAGACCCCTCGTCTACGCTTATGCTATGACGTTTCTCAGGTCGGGCAAATCAAGTCCGTTTACACCCACTAAAAAAGCATTTCCCTATTCCCTACCAAGTGCAAAAGACAGAGATAGAATATAGATCGACGTTCAGTGTAACTCAGTCTATAGGCGATTATA